GTGAGGGCTGATGCCACTAATCAACAAAAACAAAGAACCTCCCTTGGGCTGATCAGCAATAGAACAAAACTCATTTACCTCGAAGGCTAAAGCGCCAGGACAGCATACACGGTCCTGGCTCCGTATCGGTTCTGGGGAGCATCAGTCCAGTTCCTATTCCACCACCGGCAAGTCTCGCCGAAGCTATTTTTTGCACCCGAACAAATCAAACAGGTGCCTACCAGGCTGGTGCGTCAAATGAGCAGCCTCCTTGTATAGCGCCGGAAGTTTCAGATGGCTCTCCTGGTGGTTGTAGTTATAGCTGTGATAGATTGTGGTACAAGGCATACATGCAATCAACAATTGCAGTCGCACATGCCAAAGTACACAAGTACACTTAGTACAAAATAATTGCGAACACGCCGGCGAGTATTGCACCCCAACTGGTTTTGACCGCCGCCACGCGGTCTTCTTCAGGGGGAACAACCAGCTTCAACCCTCAACTGCTGGTTTAACACAACATTTTCTTTTCTTTTCTTTTTTTGGGGGGGGCGGGGAAGGGGGGAGGCGAGGAACAATCTTATCCAGGAAATGGGTGAGAGAACGGGTGTGTGTGGAGGCCATTGGAGCTGAATGGAGCTTGTTTCACTATGGAATTTGGATCACATAAGCCGCTATGTGATTGAGAGAAGGTGATGTTTTGTTGAATAATTGAATCTGCTTTTTTTTGTACACGGCAAACGGCAAAAACTGCAAGAGTTCATAACATCGTCATTTGTTTCAAAACAACCTTTGTACTTGGTCCAAATTGCTAGCTAACGAAAAGCCAGAAAAGGGGCAGTCAAGACAAGGTCAGCAATTAAATTTGGAATCTTTTTGGATCCATCTAAATGATTCTTTTCAATATGTCCTACACTGTCCGCATGCCCAAGCCTTTTTCTTTTCTTTTTTTTTTACACAAATCGGATTTTGTATTTAAAAGAGCTGGAAACCGTGTCCAGTGTCCCTTACATTCAGATATACTCGCTCGACGCATCGCCCTGTTCTGGCCGAGCGATCCTGAGACAGCAGCATTGATTACTAGTATTAACTACCCAATTGGGAGGTATTACCACCATACATGCAAGCACATGCCGTGCCGTGCGGGCGCACGTACAGCGCATGAGCGCACGGGAGCCGTGCGGGCAATTGCGCACGTACAGCAGATGAGCGCACGGGAGCCGTGCGGGCAATTGCGCACGTACAGCGGATGAGCG